CGCTTTGGGCAAATATCTCTAAATAGACACTCAATTTACTTACTATTTTTCCCTTTCATTTTTTTATTCATGTAATTTTTATTTTATTTTTCATTCCATTTCTTTAATTCTCATTGTCATTTCCTTCTTTTTGCTTTTCTTTCAAATTCTTCATTTTATTTTCTTCGCTATTTTTACCTTTGGACAATTCTTCAGTTCTGTTTTTTTTCCAAAAATTTTCTTTCTTTCTTTTTTTTCTATTATATAGAATTTATTTGCATTTCCACATCTTTCTTTCTTTTTTTTCTTTTTTTCTTTCTTTTTTATTATTTACATTACATTATTTTCCTTCATTTTCTAGTTCGTCATATGTTGTTTTTTCTTTTGTTCTTTTTCCATGTTTTTTATTTCTTTCAAATATTCTTCTTTTCCGTCCTGGATATAACGATAAACTACATGGCGTCTTCGGTAAGACGATAGACTACTTCCAACAGCAAGACCTCTGATCAGTTTTGAGGAGCGTGGAACTACCTCTTAATTGCTGGTGTTCTCAGATCCGCCCTGAACCGCAGTGGTAGCACCTTTTATGGGCAAATATTTAACCTCGAAAATAGGGTAAAAACACTATGAAAGTGTAAAAAAAGGTTTTAATACCAGCAATACGTTTTTGTTTTTAAATTATTCCAGCAATGAATTTTTGAAAGAACAAAAAACAATTACCAACAATATAATTTTGAAAAATAAATATTATCAGAAATACGTTTTTGGGAAAAAAATATTTCCAGTTATACATTTTTGAAAGAAAATATTACCAGCAATACATTTTTGAGGTAAAAATATTACCAGCAAAGGTTATTTGAAAAAGAAAATATCACCAGCAAGACTTTTTGGAAAAAAATACATTTTTGAAGGAGACATATTACCAGAAATAGATTTTTGGCTAAACAATATATTACCAGCAATAAAAATTTTGCCGACATTAAATAACCCATTGAGGTTTATATGCCGTACAACAAACCAAACCAAACCAAACTATTCTCCATTTATTTATTTTCTATCTTTCACTTTTCACACATTTTTTTTCATTTCTTTCCGTTTTATCTGTAATTCACATTTATGTTTTCAACATTTTATGTCTTTTGTTATTTTTTTATGTTAATAAAATATTTGCTGTTAAAATCATCCGGCATTTCACTGGAAGTAGCAATATTATCATCATTGTCATCACCTTGTTATCGTCATGATCATGATCCATAATACATATAGTGACCAATCTTTGACTTAATCCATGTAGTTCCAGATTTGAACAAAATTGAGTTTTCCAATTTCAAAACAAATAGTCCCCTAACTTCACTGAGTTTATTTTTATTTTAATAATTTCCTGCAATTAATATCAACTGGCCATCTCTAGCGATAAAGTGATTGGTATTGATGTCATTTCTAACAATATTCTCTTTGAGGAGTTCATTTTTCTTAAGATCCCCATATCTTAATTTTTTCTAAGGTTCGTCGAAAAAATTTCAATATGTCCTATGATCATAGAAACAATTTTCATTTTCACATTCCAGAAATGTTTATGTCTCTGACAAGGTTTTGATACTTATTCAGAATTTCATTTTCTGACAGTTATAGAATATCAGGTCAACATCTCTCTGACATCACTGGCATTCTTTTCTTTAAATTCAATCAGTAGATCTAATTTCATAACCAAGAAAATATGTTTAAATTCTACATTCTAATGATTCTTACCATTTTTGCTATAGGCGAATCTCTGAGATCTTGCAGTAAATTGCCGTTCTGTTACTGTCTTATGCAGTGTTAAACTTCTGATTACATTTGATTCATTTATATTTTCTTTCCATCCACGTCTGTAAATAAAGGGACGTTTTTGGACTTAGTTGAGACGTCTGTTCTTGCTTTCTTTTAGTCATTACCCATCAAGAAAGGCGGTAATCCCAGTAAAACCCAGAGAGTTAATATGAAGATTTTGCAAATCATATTTCGAGTAACTGCTCCTATTCCTATTTTCCAAAATTCGAGCTTTTTTATATTATTACGTCCACGTCTGAGTGAGATATTTTCAGTACTGTCCAAAACTTTTCAGTTATCTCGTAAGCCGTAGATCGTGTCTCTCTTTTTGGCTCAAAACATGTTATTCCCTGTCCGTCAATACTTTTTTTGCACGTTTCCCAGTTGAAAAAACAAGCTATTCAGACATGTTGGCTTTTTATTTATTCAGAACTACTACTACTAATACTACTACTACTACTACTAGTACATCATCATCATCATCATCATTTTCTTCTTCTTCTTCTTCTTCTTATTATTATTATTATTATAACTACTACTACGACTAATAATACTACTACTACGACTACTAATACTATCATTATTATTATTATTATTATTAAAAGAAAGGAGTTGGTTTGTATTCAAAGTATATTATGTAATATTGTTTAGCCGAAATAGTTGCATAAGGTAGCCATCTTATTTCAGTTTCTGTATTTTTGTTTCTATTTGTGGAGTGTATCGTTTCTCTCATCAAAAAGAAATTATTTTTTTTAGATTGCAGTCAAAAAAGGTGATTTGACTTGAAGTAGACGTATTCGAATGTCGTTGACAGAGGTTTTTGCTTCGAGTATTGCTTGACGATTAGTTTTGAAAATGTCTGGAACAGGTCAAGGGGTTTCGATTATTTTTCCAGTTCTCTTTTTTGTTTTCATTCATTCTTCTTTCTTCATATATTTTGTTATATTGTTTTCTTTCCTATGTCTATTTTTACTTAATCATTTTTTTCTTTTTGCTCTTGGCTGCCCTAACTAACTGTACTTCTCCTACTTTCAACTTTATTTCATTCACTTCTGCCTGTAATTATTTTTCGTCCATCTTTGTTTTTTTCTCATTTTTTCTCATTTTTCTTTTATCAATATTTCTTCCGTCTATTTGCAGTAATTATTTTTCCATTTAGATTTCATTCTTTCTAATTATTATCAATTTTTTATATAACATATTCTCCCCTTTCATTTACTTTATTATTATTTTCTTTCATTCTTTTCTTAGGTTTCCTTCCTTTTTATGTCTTTTTTCTTCCATTCAATATTTTTCATTCGTCTTTGATGTTTTTTTCTTTTATTTTGACATTCTTATATTCTTTCGTTCATCTGTCTTTTTTCTCCTAATTTTATTTACTTAATATCTATTTCATTCTTACTTTTTCCTCATTTCATTATTGTCTACTTTTCTTTACCCATTTTCCTTCTTTTCCCCATTCTTCTCTTCCTCAAACATTTCCTCACTTTTCATCTCTTCTTTCTTGATTTCTTCAGATTTCTTCAACCATACCTTCTTTTTTTCATTCTTCTCTGCGCTAAAATCTCCCTCCTCTTTTAATCCTAATTTTATATACCTTTTTTCTTTAAACTCCCCCTCCTCTTTTTTCAAGTTTTCATTCTTCCTCTTCTCAGGATTTTCCCTCTGTTCTTCTCTCCTTCAATATAAATTTCCTCAAACATATTTATTTGATTTTATTCCTGTATTTTTCATAGATTTCCTTCATGCATACAAATGTTTCTTTTCTGATTATTTTCTCATTTCCTTTATTGATTGTTATTTTGTTTGTGTATCTTTTCTTTCATGTGTCCTAAGATTTTTCTTTCTCTGTCACTGAAATTCTATCTTTATAACAGTTTCTTCGCTACTCCACAAAAGATAGAATGAAAAAAAAAAACATGAAAAAAGCAAAAGAAAAATGCTAATGAAAAAATAAGTGAAAATATCAGAAAGAATGTAGCTAAAATATTTTGATTACAGTCTCGTTCTGGCTCCTCTCTTCTCGTCACGGAAACGTGAATAAGAAGTCTAAAGAGAAGAAGGGAAATCCAATTACGAGACAAACTATTACAATATACCAAATAACCGCAAAAATGCTCAAGAGAAATGGGGAAAAGCTAAGATCATGCTAAAGAACTTGAAATGGGTCGATGAAATAAATATTACGGCTGAAGATCAAACCTTATCTTTTAGAATATGCAATGTTTGTTGCAAATGGTTCCACCATGTTTGTTTTGATATCACTCTTGTTATTTTGTGTCTTGATTATTCTTGCTTCGTATTTTATTCTACTTTTTTGTTTCGTTTTTTAAACATTCCATTAAAAATGGAAATATTTTGGATGCGCTAATCTGATGGGTATTTCTATATCATGTTTATTTTCTCCTTTTCTTTTTATAATATTTCATTTTTTTTTTTTTTTGTAAGGTGTTGTGAACAGAGTGAATTGAAGAAAAACAGAAAAACGGTGAAGGAGTTGCTTGATTTGCTCAACAAGATGTATTATTTTATAGATTTTGTGTGCTTATAACTTATATTTAAAGCCAAAAATGTTTTCTTTGTTTGAAATAAAAAAGAAATAATTTTTTTTACAGTTTATGGAAGTATTCACCCAGAGAGAAAAATATTTTCCTTCGGAAATATTTTCAACAAATAGATATGAAATAACGCACAAATAAAAGAAAAAATGGCTAACAAAAAAAAAAAACTTGATGAGGAAAAGCAAATAATATAAGCGTAACAGAAGCCATAAAAGCAACAAAATAAATGCCGAGAACAAACAAAAGGTAAATGTATATGTGTTGCGAATACGGCAGTGTAAGAGTCGAGGTGATTTTTTTATATATTGCTTAGAGTTATGTATATATCCTTATATAGCCGCTTATATATATTTAACTCTCTCTCTCTCTCACTCACTCACTAATTCTCTTTATCTATCTATCTCTCTCTCTATATATATATATCATTCTATCTTTCTCTCTCTCTCTCTCTCTCTCTCTATATATATATATATATATATATATATATATATATATATATATATATATATATATATATATATATATATATATATATATATATATATATTATGGATATATATATGTTTTAAAATAAAACGTTTCCGGTCTACTCCATTTAAAACAAATAACAAAATGTTATCTGTTTGAATTAAGACCTTATGTCATAAATTG